TTTTTTTGGTTTTTCTCCGGTACCGGGAACCGAACTCACGACCTTGCGCTTGCCAGGCAGGCGCTTTTGCCGCTGAGCTAAATCCCCAGCCCCTTAATTCTCAATATAAATCTGGCTAAAAGCCCTCAACACTAGTCATGCCACTGTACCAACATTAGACTGCCTTGAAATTTCCTCTGCCAGATTAATTAGTTCTCCGCCCTTCATTTCAGTCTCAAGTAAAATCTCTGCACATGAGTAAAAGGCAGACAAACTTTTTGCCAAGCTATAACATATATCCCAGCATTGGACCATAAATCTAACACAAACTCTAGAAGCCCACCCCTAAGCATGCATGAAGCTCTGGTGGGGGGACAGCTAAACATAAACATAGTATATATTACTATATATAGTATATATAACACAGTATATATTGTATTTGCACTTATTCTTAAGATATTCTCCAAAAATCTCATCTTTGGCTTTTCTTATATTGTAGCTTTGGAAAGTAGATGGTGTACTTTATTCAGTTATTTGGCCAGAGGGCCCAAGGCAGTGAGTACCTGGAACATAATCTGAGCTCATAAAACAGGAAACAGAACCAAAAATATCACTTACTGCTGAAATAAAAGGAACTGAGATCAAACTTCTGTTCCAGAAGCCAGCTTACATGCCAGTATACTATGGCAAGATTACCCAGAAGACAACTACCATGAACTAGTCACATGATTGTGGCTACTCCCAACCTCCCTGTGACTGTTTTCCCATTTATACCAATTGAGGGTTACAATCAGATCATCTTCCTGGCCCCATCACATTTTAAAACTATTATGAAATAACTCAATCCACATGGAAAGAATACAGCAGTAGTGAAAAGAGAAATTTAAATTAGGATTGTCCATGAACACCTTCCAGTTAGGTGTGATGGTTCACACCTGCATTCTGGGAAGCTGAGGCAGGAAGATCACAGGTTGGAGCCCAACCCAAGCAATTTCACAGTTTAGCAAGTCCCTGTCTCAAAATTTTTTTAAACGAGGAAGAAGCATCTAAGGATGTTGCTTAGTGAGAAGGCCTTGGCTTCAATCCCGGTATCGGAAAGAAAGGGAAAAAGGGAGAGAAAGGGAGGAGGGAGAGGGGAAAGAGAGAGGGACAGAGACAGAGACACAGAGACAGAGGAGGCAGGCAGATGTCTTTCATGAAGAACCTTAGATTTCCTTACAAGGATATTCATCTAGTCTAAGGAAACAAAACAAAGACAAAGCCAGAGTTTAAACCTTTAGCACTGAAAAGGCAAGTATATGCCATCAAAAGACAGACTTGAAGAGCCAGATGTAACTCATTCATTTACAGTGCTCTAAACTAGTCCACACAATTTTCAGTTAAAGACCTAGGCAGCACCTGAAGAACTGAAGGACAAGCGAAAGACCAGCATGGAACACTGTGATTGTACCTGGTGATGACGTGCAAAAACTGTGGTGTGAGCACTGCCTGCTGAGACTTCTCAGGGTACTGGTAGACCGACATTAACTCAACAGACTTGACAATCATGTAGAGATAGCCCACGTGAGGTAACGAGAAAAAACAAAAAACGCTTAGTAGCTCTTTTCCATGAGATGAATTTTTTCCATCAGAAGTAAGAGAACCTGCATCTGAAAATGAAAGAAGTAAGTATCATTTAAATAGTAAATAAAAATAAATATTTTGAGACTCTTCTATGCAAACTCTATCTGTGGAAAACCAGAAAGTTGCTAGAGGGAAGTTGCTCTTCATACAAAAATGCCAGTAAGAAATAAAAACAGCAAAATACTTAGGATATCACCATTTAGTAACTCCTAATAAATGCACAGAACTAAATAATGATCATCAGTGGCTTGCTAACATCATAGAGTACACCAGCCACGTAGCTTCCTAGGGGAGCTCACACTGCTTGTGTTAGAAACATCACAATAACAGAAACATACTTTTTGTTCTGCCTCTCACCCCTAGTTTTGAGGATCGAACCCAAGGATTTCACACTGAGATACACCCTTAGCCTTTTTTATTCTAGGACACGGTCCCTCTAAATTGCTCAGGGTATGCTCAAACTTTTGATTCTCTTGTCTCAGCCTCACAGAATGCTGGAATTATAGGTGTAATTCCATGGTGCACTACCATGCCCAGCTATTACATTCTGAACAAGCCTAGTCTACATCAGTACTGTTGATACAAATATACTGTGAGCCTCATCTTCAAATTAAAGTTTTTCTGGTACCCACATTTTTAAAAGTAAAAAGAAATAGCTGAAATTCTAATAACATAATATTAAACATATCCAAAATATTACCATTTCAACAAGCAATGAACAAAAAAAGAGATACTTTGTATATGTTTTTGTACCAAGTCTTCAAAATCTATTGTGTATTTTATATTTACAATTGATATCTCAATTGTTACACCAGTCATACTGCAAGCGTTCAACAGCAATATGTGGCTAATCCCATACTGGGCAGCAGAGATTTGCATCCAACTACCAACTCACAGAGAAATACAGTAGATACAGGAATACATTACACGACCCTGTGAGAAATCCATTGGCAAAATTCAGATTAAGGGAAATTTTATAGTGAGAGGTCAATTTCTTGCTAAGCGGACTGCAAAGAAAAATAAAGGAAAACTCTACATACTGAAAGAGACTTAAAAGACATAACAATCAATTGCAATGTATGAATCTTATTTTGTGTATCTGTTATGGCTTGTATCTAGACATCCACCCAAAGCCTCATGGCCTCATAGGTGAGGCTTTTCAGAGGTGGCTGGACCTAGGGTGTGCAATAACTAAATGAGTTTAGCATACTTTTGGGTGTGGATAATGGAATCCCTACCCTGCATGTTGGTGGCACCAATTAATAGGCTGACAGCCTGGATGGAATATAAAGGGAGAGAGGGAAGGCTTCTGCTGCTGCTACTTGCTGCCTTGCTGCGGGACTGTTTCTCCTCTGCCAGGCCACCCTGCCTTGGAGCCAGCTGACTATGGACTGAAACCTCTACAACCTATGAGCCGAAATAAACCTTTCCTCCTTTAACTTGTGGGTGTCAAGTATTTCTAAAAATTGTCTCAGGAATGAGAAAAATAAGACAGACTCTGATTGAAACAAATTGCTTTCCATCACGAAAATTTTTTAATCAGGAAAATTTGAACACCAAGTATTTGATATCAAGGAATTTTTTTATGTGAAATGGTATTTTGAGTTTGTTTAAGTAAAAAAATTCTTTCCTTTGAGAGATACTTGATGAAATATTTATGGATGAAGTGGTAGTAACTTTATGATTTGTATCAGAATAACCTGGAAGCGAGCAGAGGATGGTCATGAAGCATCTGTTAACATCGTGCTCAGGTACATGGGGGCCCACTATGTTTGAAATTTTTCACAACCAAAGTTTTAAAAACAAAGTACTTTACTGATGGGCACCCTTTAAGGACCCTGATTAATATCAGAAACCCAATTCTGTACTCTCTGCAATAGCCCCAAAGGCATCTGTCCAATTTTTTTCTCCCTCTTCCTTCCAAACACATCTGGACTATAGCCCAAAAGTACTGCTCACTTCTCCAAACACAGATAACAGTCTTACAGCTGGTACATGCTGGTTCCCCTATGTAGTATCTTACCAAGATCTCCGTCTTCTAGAAATTCTACTCATGCTGTAGGGCCCAGCTCACTGTCTATTCAGTAAGTATTCATCGGGTACCTACCAAAGTGCTGCTGCTTTCAGTTCTCAGGATACAACAATGCACAGGACATGGCAAGCGCTCTCACAGAGCCTTCATTCTAGTGATGGGGACTGGGGTAGAGTACACACAAGTAATCTCCATGGTGTATGGAAAAGGAGTATTTTAAACTGAGAGGTCAGAGAAGTCCTTTGTGGTGAGATGACATTTGAGCTACAAATTGAATGACTTAAATGCAGTCATGCAAGACCTGAGGGAGCTTCATTCTAAACCCAGGAGAAGAAATCGCACATCTTACTCAAAGGTGCCCTGGCATATGTGAGAGAGAAAGACCGCTATGGATGGAGAACAGTAACCGGTAAGAGTGAGACAGGATGAGTTCAGAGTTCCAGTCACAGAGACCATGGAATGAACTTGGGGGGTTTTATCTGAAGTACTATGGGAAGCTCACTAAACTACACAGCTGACCCTCACAGCTACTGGCCCTGTCTGGTCTCCAGCTTTGTCTCCCATCTCCCCTGCTGACCCTCCTTGGTTTTACTTCTCTCAGTTCCTCAGCCAGAAGACTTCCCCATCAGAGTCTTTGCTGCTTCCTCTGCCCTAAAGGCTCTTTTTTCTCCTTAGCACCAAGCCCCTCCCTAGTCAACCCTTCAGATTCTCTTCCTTAGGACCCCAAAATGAAGTCAGGATCTTTTGTTGCAGGCTCTCACAGCAGGGTTCCTCTTTCATCTAACAATCATTTCAGTGTGTAATTGTGGTGATGTGAATATGTAATGTCTGCTTCTGCCATTAGACAGTTAACTCCAAAGGGGTAAACATGTTGCCCCCTTTTGCTCATTGCTGCTTCCCTAGCATTCAGCACAATGTTCAACACTAGACACTCAGTGAACTTTTACTAAAAGAAAGTAAGCGAAGGTTATAAAGACACTGAATCAGAGTGGTATTTACATAATTTTCTAGAAATGTAATCTCCACCCCGTGGAGCCAGAGCATCAGTATTTTTAAAAGTGCCCAGGTAAACCTAATACGTAACAGGGCTGAAAACCACTGCTCCACATGAATTTGTTTTCAGTCCACATTTCCCACCTTGCCCACAAGGCCATCAGAAGAAGTTTTGTCAAGTACCCTGCTGGAATCCAGGTAAATCTCCGCTCTAGAAAGGCTGTAATTTCCTTTTCTGGACCTAGGGACCATTTTAAAAATGGAAATGAGCTTTATCACATTCCCTCAATGGTTTCACTTCTCGTAGCAGACCTGACTTTCCTTTCTAGTGCTCACAGGTATTTGTTCAGAAACTTGTCCACACTCCAGGGAGACTCAGTAGAAGACACAAATCTAGTACCCACACTGATCTTCCCTCCGGCCCTGACCCTGACACTGCACCACACTGTAGCACTGCCACACTTACCCGTCTGGTAGATGGGTAGCAGCTGAAGGGAATGCAACCTGATGTCATCAGATAAGACATAGAAGGAAATATCGGGAGTAAAACGCCTGTGAGTTTAAAAAGACAAAGAGGAAAAAGTCTAATTTCCATGTACATTAAGCAGGCAAATAAATACTAACAACTAGGGGGTAAAAAGCTCTCTAATACCTATACAGTAGGTGCTGGACGTGGAAGTATTTTATTTTTTCGTCAGCTAATCCTGTAGATTCCAGTGTAACAGATACTCCAGACTGTTCACTTTTTTCACCAATAAGCTCCATGGGCTTTTGGCAGATAACAAAATCATCTGACTCAATCTGTGACATTTCATTACTGAAATCTTAGAAAATAAAAGTTAGCGTATAACAACTTCAAGTACTACCTTCTTCAATGAAAAGTAGATTTCATAATATTCTCTCACCAATTAGACAGGCACATTATAATTTTATATACACACATTTCATACAATTACAAGGCACTATAGTTTTCAAATTTTAGGACTTGTGCATTTATTCCTCAAACCACTGATAAAGTACAACCAATTATGTATTATCACCCCCATTTTACCCTCAAGAAAACTCAGAGATGGTGTTATCCAATGGCACCCAATTAATAAATATGAGAATAAGAACCAGAAGTCCCTCATCTAGCAGTAGCTGTGTTCTATTATTTATATTAACAAGCATATGTAAATACATTTACATGGCATACAATAATATATGCACAGCTAGATCATAAACACAAATGTGATGTAATCAGCAGAACTAAATCTATAAATATCGTGGCGTGGCACCACACTAACCACAATGGTGCCAAAGGCTCTATCTACCATAGAGACAGAGTGAAAGCTGACCATTTTCTCTATGCCTAGAACAAGAAGTAAGTTTATCATTTACCTGTATTTGTCTGTTTTACTGGATTGTTGGTCTCACATGGATGGTGCTTGACTCTCTCTCCATTTTTAGAGTCCGATTCCAGTTTTAGAATTAAGACTTCCAAATCTGACATGACAGCAATATATCCAACACAAAAAGAAATTTCAACAGGAGTGATATTATCTAAGTGGATAATTAAAGAACGTTCAAAGTCCAATACTGAGAATTCTTCATTAATGACCTGGTACGTCAAACTAAATAAGACTAATTTATTTGTGCAGCCAACAAGGAGATCTCCTTTAACAGGGCAACAGGAAATGCACAAGGGGGCCTCAGAAAGCGGCATTTCAACAATAGACATCTGGTCTCTGAAGGATTCCCTGAAGGGTGTCTCCACATTATGCCCAACCATTCGGATACACACGCGAGAGTTCTCTGCCCCTTTACTTCTCCAGTTCACATAAGCACGAAGGAACGTAGCCTTGTTTTTCTCTTCAATTGCTACCAAATAGTCCCCTGAAAAGAAAGTAAGAATATACTTGGAATTTGCAATTAGAAATACAACCACTTACTTTGCTGTAATGAAATAGAATATATCATTGGCTACAGAGTGAATAAAACAAAACTCTAAAATAAGAGACTCTCAGGCCTATTTTTAACTTGCATTATTAGACATTGAGGTTCTGAAATACACTCATCCCCATTTTAGAGTCTAAAGATAAACTACTGATTATTCATAGGATATAAAACCTACATTTTATTTCCTATATTAGCTCTATGCATTTCACCAAAACTCTAAATTTATAGGTCCAACAAAGCTCTACTGACAAAAAGGTTCAGCAATATTCGTATATTACTGTCACTTATCAAAATTAGGTACAAATTAAGGAACTCTGAGTTTAACAGAACTTATACTTTATCTCCTCCCCTCCCCACAAAAGCCACAACTTTGAAAAATACGATAAAGCTACAAGTACTGATAAAGCTACAAGTACTAAGTAAAATATAAATCCAAGTTAACTTTCCCATAACTTTGAGATTTTTTTTAACTTATAAGAGTAACGTATTTGTTGTTATATTTTGATTTGAGAAATCAAAATGGTGAAGGGGTAAAGACATGCAAAACAAAAAGGCATAATCATCTCTCTGCCCTCTTGCCCCAGAAGATACAATGTAAACACCCAGCCTGGTGTGTGACCCTCAACATTTTTCTCTCACACAGTATAAACATACAATACAGAGCAGTATTCTGTGTTCTTTTTCTGTATCATACTAACTACTCAAAAATCTGCAGTATTTTTAAATGATAAATCTTTCCCTACAAGTTGACACATGAATATCTAACATCCTCTTCATTATATCTTATATACACATGTGTGGTAATTTACTTAATATATATTCAAGCACTTCCAGGTTTTTTGTCACTATATTTCACCCTGGATTAAACAGGTCTATCCCTCTATACTTACTGAGGGAAGGGAGAGAGAATGGAAACAGTACTAAAAGTAAGAATGCTGGACCGAAGGGCAGGCACATTTTACACTTCAATGGATACTGCCAGGTTGCCAGTCTATACAGCAGAAACTCATGGTGCCTGCAGCAGGGTTTCAGTGTGTCTACTTGCCCACAGCCTCCCCAGTCCGGACTCACGTGGCAGTGGGAACATGGACTCCAGTAGCTGGTATGATTTATATTACATAGACTACTTCTAAAACCAGCCATCTTTTCGTATGTGTGTCATCCATGCATAGTTTCTCTTCTGCAAGTTGTCCATTTTTTATGAAATTTTTGGTTTATTTTTCTTAAGGAATTGCAGTTCTCTGGGAAAAGGGATAGTAACCCTTCACTGGCCATGCATAGTACATAATTTTAGTCCACTTTTGTCTTTGCTTATGGCTTCTTTCACCATGTAATTGTTATGTACTCAGATATGTGTCTTTTCCTTCTTGACTTCTGAAGGGTCCTTCTTAGCTTAAAAAGTCCCATGTCTTCCGAACTACATAAATATATGGGATAGCTCATCTTTTCCGTTTTAGTGGAGTTCATTCTTTGGTACTAGAGATTGAATCCGGTACCTTCACACTGAGCTATACCCCCAGCCCTTTTTAAAATTTATTTATTCTGAGACAGGGTCTTTCTAAATTGCTCAGGCTGGGCACCACCACACCTGGGTTAGGGGAATTCTTCTTTAAATTTTTACCTGTTAGAATTGTGTTGCTGAGGATAGGGGATAAATCCAGGATTTAACTAAGTCTTCCGTCTTCACAAAGAAGAACTTCTAACACTAATACTATTACGTAAAACAGCCCTTTTGCAATGAACGGAAGTTAAAAAGCTGTTGTTACACCGACTTTCCCTACATACAGCAGCACGCAAGCAGGGCAGCCATTTTCCGCAGAAACTCACAGGGATCAGTGACCAGGTTCCCTCCTCTTCTGAAGTGATCTAGCCTTCAAAAGAAGACAAACAAAGCCAGGCATGGTAGTGACGTGCCCGCGACCCCAGCACTTGTGTGGCTGAGGCAGGCGATCAGTGAGTTCCAGGCCAGCCTGGGCTACAAAGTAAGTTCAAAGCCAGCCTGAACTGCACAGTGAAACCCTGTCTCAAAAAAACAAAAAGAAAAAAGAAAAATCAAAACAAAACAAAACAAAAAAGAAGGCAAACTTTCTGTTGGCAGTGGTTCCTTGGCTGCCACACGTATGGTGTGTGAAGATCCTCTCCTTGAAATCTTGGTAGGATGCTTACAAATACCAGCAGGTACAGTAAAGTTTTCTGTGTTCACTGGCATTAAGTACATTCACACTGTTTTGCCACTATTACTACCATCCAGAACTTCTTCATCTTTTCCAGTGCTACGTATTCATCCTCTCTCCCCTCAGACCCCGGTACTCGATCATTCCACTTTCTTTCTCTGTGATTTTTGATTACTCTCAATACCTTACATAAGTTGTACGGCTTGTTCTTTTGAGTCTGACTGAGTCAGCTAGCATAATGTTGTTCCTCCAAGTGTACCATGTATCAGGATTTCATTCCTTTTTAAGGCTAACAGCCTGTAACTTTATCTATCTGTTCACCTGTCTCTAGCCCCTTGAGTTGCATCCACCTTTTAGTTTTTATAAACAATCCTACTGTAAACATTGGTGTACAAATACCCATTCAAGTCCCTGCTTTTAGTTCTTTTGTGTATATACCCCAAAGTGGCAGAAGTGGAATGGCTAAACCACATGGTAATTTTTTATGCTGTTTTTAAGAAACACCATGTTGTTTTCCTAGATGGCTGCATATTTTAATTTCCTGAGTTCCAGTGCAGAAGGGTTCCAATTTCTCCACATTCTCTCCAACATTTATTCATTTTTAAAACGGATAACCATCCTAATGAATATGGGTAGTATCTCATTATGGTTTTAATTTGCATTTCCCTAATTATTTATGTGCATCTTATGTGTTTTTAGTCACTGATATATCTTTGGAGAAATACCTGAGCAATTTAGAAAAGTTGATATACAAAATAGCCCAAGGCTATTTTGTATATCAACTTTTCGTTGCTGAGTTGTAGTTCTTCATATATTCTAAATATGAATCCCTTACCAGATAAATGATTTGAAAATATTTTCAATTCCTTGAGTTGCCTTTTCAATCTGTTGGTAAGGTCCTTTGATTCACAAAAGTCTAATTTTTATGATGTCTAACTTATCTATTTTTCTTTTGTTGAGTATTATATTCAAGTTAGTAAATAAATTTTAAAGCTAAGAATACTGGCTTAGTTACTATAAAAGTTTTTTGTTCTTATACCTATAAATATGTACCTATTTCTTTGATAAAAGTCTACACAGCAATTAATGTTTAAAAACCAATAGGCAGGGCTGAGGATATAGCTCAGCGGCAGCACCTGCCTGTCAAGTGTGAGGTCGTAAGTTTGAATCCTGGTACCAGATAAATAAAAAATAAAAAATTTCTCTGTAAAATCCAATACGTAAATGGATGCAACTTGAGAACATAATGTTAAGTACAATAAATCAGACATAGTTCAAGTATCACATGGTTTCTCATATTAGAAATTCAAAATATATACAAATATAAAGAACATATTAGAAGATAAATAGGGGGCTGGGAAGATAGCTCAGCTGCACAGTGCCTGCCTGGTAAGCACAAGGCCCTGAGTTCGATTCCCGGTACCAAAACAAAAAAACAAAAACCAAAACCAAAAAACAACAAAAAAGAAGATGAATAGGAACTATGGATAAGTTCAAATAATTTCCCAAAATTATTCTGTTGTTTCAAAAATATTTCAAGGTATACGCCAATTTGTTTCATTTATACTACTAGTTTTTCTTAGTTCACTGAAGAAAGTCTTGTGCTATTTTAGGATTTTTTTAAATTTTGTTTTGTTTTTAACACATGGTCTTCCTACACACTTCAAACTTACCTTGAGTTCACTATGTAGCCAAGGCTGGTCTCGAACTCACTGTGATCCTCCTGCCTCAGCCTCCCAAGTGCTGGGATTACAGGCATATGCCACCATGCGTGGCTAGCTGTGTGCTATTATCTGTCTTTTCTGTCTATGGCTTGTACTCTGAGTAATATTTTGGCCACTTTTTAAGGATTATGGTACACAGGGAACATAACTGTTGTTATTCTCTATTTTGTTACAAAACTCTGTTTTTTCATTGCACTGTGCTTTTATATCTTCTTTATTAATACCTATATGCATTACATTAAAATAAAATATAAAATCTGATAATTACAGATTATGCCCACACTCTGTTGTGTTTTCAAATTAATGAATTCTTCTATAAGCAATGAACTAGCACTTGCTAAATAATCTACCTAACAAGCCTTACGATAAGAAGTTTTGTTGTTTTGTTTTGTTTTTTGTTGAGACAAGGTCTAACTACATAGTTTAGGCTGGCCTTGAAACACTATGTACGCCAGGGTGGCCTCAAAGTAGTGGGCCATCCCCCTACCTCAGTCTCCAGAGTGCTGCGATTATAGGAATGTGCCACTATGCCTGGCATGAAGAGAGGTTTAGAATTGAGTTAATCCTCACAATAGTCCTTCAAAGTACGTATTTCTCTCCCCATTTACAGATCAGGAATCTGAGATCAAACTAAGTAACTTGTCTAAGGCCACAGAGTCAACGAATAATGGAACAGGGACTCAAACCTGTATCAGGTTAACTCAAAGGCCTATGTTCATTCCCCAATAATGCTGCTTCTCAAACTGATGAAAGATACAAGTCTACAGGGGAAAAAAAAAAACAAAAAAACAAGTCTACAGGATTCTGTGGAGGTGATTACCTTCATGAAAAAAAAGGAAACTAAAATTTTAAGCATTATGTGCTCGGTGCTTTTTTTTTTTAAACTTTACAAAGCTTCTATAGTCATTAAATAAAATCTTTAAAAATTACTGATAATACTAAAAATTCAAGCCTGTTCTTCAAATTTTCTACATATTTTTCTTCCTAATTCCCCAAATTTTATAAAAAGAGAACAGTTTTCAGTTCATGTAAGTTGTTTTCTTTTTTAACTACAAATATTTTCTGCTTGGGTAAGAACCTGCACGGTATTTTTGGTAAATTTAAATATATGAACTCCTTCTATTTTTAACAAGGGGAGATTTGCAACAGAGGAGGGCACTGGGCACTGAGAACAGAAAACCCTAGGTTCCACCAATAGTTATAGGAGGAAGGGGCCAAAATAGAAACGCTGAGAAGCAGAAGATAGATTTTCTGGGTACCAACACTGCCAGGAGTCATCCTATTTAATGTCAGTTACAGGTGCATTAATAAATAGAAGTTGCGTCCGGGAGCTGAAGTTCAAGCTGTGGATGGAAAGCTGCCCTTGAGCTACATAACTAATAATGCTATGTCATCCCACATCACTCCTGAACTTTAAAACAGCCAACCAGATTATAAAAACACCTTTGTTCTTCAAGGCTGCTATTAATAAGATTATCATGTGACTCATGGCCTCATGAAGCCCGTGGGCTCAAGTCAGTGTTTCTCCATCCTGATTAATCTCTGTTTCACCCCAATGTTGGCATATTTCAGAGAAACTACTATACTGGATCTCTGACAATGTGCTCCAGCCATGGGAACTTGTTTTAAGCTTCCCAGGTGATTCTGATGTACAGGTAGTGGACAGCCAAGAGTCTCAGGAATCAACATTACTGACAGCAGAAAGCCAGAGGGGGTTTATATGAAGCCTGCCATTTCAAATTTTAGAATAATGTCCATTTGAAAGAACGAGGCAAATCATGTAAATATTCCCCCTCAATCTCCCTTCCTTGAAACACACACACATGTTGAAAATGATGAGCATGCTTACTCAACAGAACTCTTTTTATGTTTTTGAGCTAAAATGTTGATATATTGCCTAGACTGGCTTCAAACTTGTGAGCCTTCTGCCTCAGACTGCCACGTAGCAGGGATTACAGATGTGTACCATGGCTCACAAAGCACGCCTGAAGGTAAAAATACCACAGACAAGGTGAGGAAAACTACCAATACTGTAAAAAATAAACCATAACCCTGCACTTCCTATTCACTTCAAACTTACCTTGACTTTGAGTAAACCTTGAGTTTACCTTATATATATATTTATATAAATAAATAAATAAATAAATAAATGAATAAGAAGGTCTGGAGATTAGTCCAACGGAAAGGCCCTAGGTGCAATTCCCAGCAGCAGGAGAAAATACTAAAATCGGAATTTTTCTGCTGAAAAGAAAGTCTACGAGTAGTTTTCAACATGCAGTGCTGCACAGGCCTCAAATGCTGCTATCCTTAGTCAAAAAGAAAAATAATCACAGCAAAGTAATTTGCTAACAAAGTTAAAGTTATCCTTTATTAGAAATAATGGTGACCTACATGCTAAGTATTTTTTGTTTTTGTTTTTGTTTTGAGACACGTTCTCACTATGCAGCTTAGTATGGCCCTGAATTCACTTTGTAGTCCTCCCAGGCTAGTCTCGAACTCACAGCAATCTTCCTGCCTCAACCTCCCAAGGGGATTACAGGCATGCACCACCAGGCCCGGCTAAGCTTTTTTGTAAAATGAAAAAAAAAGTATCTTTACTTAACAAAACAATCAGATACTAGATATAAGAGCTCCACTCTTTAACCAAGTCACAAAAATCCCAACATCTAGAAATCTCTGATTTAGTAATTCAACTTTTTCAAAAAAGCAGAAATTGAGACCCCCAGATTTGTACAAACTCACAGTAAATCGCGTGCAGAGTAGGGATTAGAGAGAAATCTGTAACCCTTCAGGTTCACCATGCTCTCTGCTTTGTTAGTGGAGAGTGCCACTGGTACCAGCCTTCCCACTGTAAATCCAGTACTTTATATCGCCCTTGCAATGCAGCAATCAAAGTTTACGTGCACTGGACTGTTACAGGGATCTTACGGTGGATTCTTATATAATCTGAAGAGCATTTATTTTCTAAAGTTGGATTTTGTCCTACTTTTCTAAAGTAGGACACGCCCACCCAGTACCCCCTTGCTACTGCCTCTCATCTCTGGTGGAAAGGAAGAGTCCATGCTCCTACAACTTTTTAAGGAAGGAGGCAGGGGACGACTGGACAATGTTAAACCAAGTTCCATTTATATGCACTTAAAAATCAGCACGTAATGACTAAAAGCACGCAAAACCCGACCAAAAGTGGGGAGAGGTCTAGATGTAAAAGGACTGGCTGTAAATCGGGACAATTCGGAGGACTGGAAGGAAGGTAGCATGAGCGTTAGGATTCTATTTCGCCTACTCCACCTTTGCACGTCATTGAAATTTTCTACACTTAACAGGCTTCCGTGAGGGGTCAGCCACTCCGCCCTAGAGGCGCGGTCACACCTTCGGTTGCCACGACAACCGCACAGCCCGGCGCACGCCCACAGTCACCCCCAGCGCTGAGACCACAGCCCGCCGCAGGAAGCACGCAGTCCCTTCCCCCGCCCGAGCCGGAGCGCAGGCGCCCCTCGCCCACCGCGACTCACCCGCCTGGCTGTAGGCCATACGCAGCACCCTGCCCAGCGTGGAGAAGGCGCACCTCGGCTGGCACAGCTCCTGGCCAGTCACAGCGAACGCCTCCACCTTGCAGCCGGCCGCCACGAACAGCGCGTCGCGCCCCCCGCCACAGAACTGCTCCGGCTCCAATTTGCAGGGAACCACCTGCTGCGACCCAAACGGATGCAGGTTGTACAGATGCACCATCCCGGCGCCCGGCTGCCCGCCCTGCGGGGCGCCCGGAGACCCCGCGCCGGCCGGGAGACCCGACCACTTCCGCGAGCGAGCAGGCCGCGCCGCATCACGTGAGCGCCGGCGCCGCTTCTTAAAGGGGCCGCAGCGGGCGTGGCGGGGCGAGGCGGGGCGGAGCGAGGCGGGGCCGGGCCGCCGGGTTCATGCCCTGCCCTCCGGCCCTCGCCTGTTCTAAATCCTGCTGGCGGGAGAATCCGGGCCTGACGTCTGAGCTGAGGAGGCGCAGGAACCGCTGGGTCCTTCCCTTTGTCTTTGCACGTTCCTGATTGGGAGACGCATGTTTTGGTCCTTGGGCATGTTGTAACACGGAGTCCTGTGCTATCCTGAACCATTTCAACCTGCTGCAGGACCACTGCTCGGGTCTTCCCAGTCGCCTCTGAATTTCTGAAAAATGAGGCTGCGAAAACTGAATTGGGTTTGGGACTAGATATACCAAAGAGTTGCTCGGAAATACTGAAGATTTTAGTAAGGTCTTTTGCAAAGAGGAAAACCTTGAAGGTGCTCGGCAGAAAGGATTATTTTAAGAGAATCTGACGACACCATCTTGTGGACATTTGACAGAAGGTTAGTTGTAGCCTCAGAGGAGAAGAAGGAAATCCCCTAGCTGTTACCCAGTGTCCCCCAAACTCTCCTGTAGCCTGTATCCTCCATAGGCTATAACATCTCAACAGGAAGCTCAAGGTCGCACTCCCCATGTTCCTCCCCTTTTAACAGATTTAACTGTTTCCAATTCATACACACAATTAGAGTGTTACTGTGAATTGAGTTGTGCTGCTTTGGCGCAAAGGGAGTGTTAGAGGAAAAAAAGGAAAAGAAACAAAGATTCAAGCTCAGCAGGACAGGTTTATTTCAGAACAAACCCCAGCGGGACGCTCTGACGCTTAGACCAGACCATTCCTCTTGTACAGGCCAAGGGGTCTCTTGTAGGATGCGGCGGGGCGGGGGTGTTCAGTGAAGGGGTGTTGCAGCCACCTACTAAGAACAAGGCTTGGGACAGCACAGGGGTAATGGTTGCCCAAGGAAGAGGCTGGGAAGGCAGGAGGAGTAGAGGTTGTTATCAATAGCAGGGCCTGTAACGATTTGAGTTTCGGAGTGCGGCTGTGCTGGGGGCGGGGACAGAGTGGTCATTGCTGGGATGGTGGCGGTGGTCTGTGTATTCCTTCATTCCAGACCCCGTGGTTAGAGAGGGGAAAGGGGCAGTGCATCCCTTGCTTAGGTACTTCCTGCTGATTAGGGAAGGAGGTCAGGGGTTTTAACTGGACTAAAGGTGAACCTTACTGCTGTGCTCTTTGGCAACTGCCTGTGAAATGGTCCCAGTCTTGTTTGTGAGCAGTCTTTGAAACAGATTAATTAGGCGTGGCAATAATAAACAGGCGAGTAAAAAGAGGAGAACAGGCAGTATAAAGGGAAAAATCTGAGACAAGGTAATGAACTTGCATGAGTTTCATGACCTCTGTTGGCGGCCTGGAGACATTTGTTGTAGTGCCTGAACCTCTGTGTTTATCTCTTGCAGAGCTGCAATTACATTATCATGATTATCTGGGATAAAAGTACATGTTCTATGAAGCATAGCTCATGTGTCTCTTGGGCAGGCTTTTGCGGGGGGCCAGAAATGCCACACACCTTTATGGTTGGTTCCATTTGCATGGTCACTGGGAGTTTGGCAGTCTCTAGGCAAGAATAAATTTTACCAAGAGAATAAATACACACGACCAAAGCGTGAGCATCAGAATGGAAAGACAAATTGGGGAAGGAGTCACGTGCAGACACCGTACGGGATTGGAATAGCCGCTGTAGCCAGCTGGCAGCTAGACCTGTTTATGGGTGTAGCTGGAAACTCTTAGCAGGGGTCAGTGATTAGGGCCCCCCCCCCTTGTTTTGTTTTTTTGAGACAGGGTCTCACTATGCAGTTCAGGCTGGCCTTCAGCTTACTTTGTAGCCCAGGCTGGCCTCAAACTCAAAAAGATCCTCCTGCCTCAGCCTCCTGAGTGCTGGGATTACAGGCCTGCGCCACTATATTTGGCTCCCTTTTTTTTATGTTGAGCCTATATTACTAATACTTTTCTTTACCTTTGGTTGTAATCTTCTGGTGGGTATTCAAGACCAAATTAAAGTGAGACCTGTGTCAATCAAAATTAACCTCTTTTATCTATCAAGATCAGTAAAGGCTCCTCAGGCATTACTTTAGGAACCATGTGCAAAGCAGTTCTTCTATCAGTGTCAGCCACCAGAATGGGCCACAGTCTTGCTTGACCATGTGATTTCCCATGGAAGCATGGGAGATATTTTTCATTCTCATGACCCTCCTTTTTAGCACATTGTCCATTGGTTGACTTCTGTCCTCTGGCGTCCAACAATCTTTCTGTTGAAGTTGAGGGCTCACCGAAGTTGTAGGGTCCTATAGAAAGGTCCCCTCATGTCCCAGATTTTTTGACCTTGGAGGGACAGGGCTAAAATACTGGCTGTCCTCATAGCCTGGTTATCTTTTAATTCTAGGCTCCAAACGTCAGTTGCTGAACATATGGGAGATCAGTTATATTAGTAGCACGGTAGCAGTAGATTTAATCTTATGATCTTAAGTAGATATTAAGCATCTTGAAATGTATGATCATGGAACTGTTATTTTCTTACCAATCATGGCTGTCTTAGGAGCTTAATCCATGCAGAATATTAACATAACAAGTATAAAACTTCACTGAGAAAATTTGAAATCAAGGAAAACATAATATTTATTAAATGATATGAAGAAACTTTTACCTAAATTTATAATCCTTCAATAGAGGATTACAAATCTAAGAAGAATGTATCTGTCATTAGATATATGTCATTTGATCTCACAGTGTTTGAGCCTCCCTAAGTGTTGTGACTCATACATAACATACACATAACAATGTTGGTTGTATTATGCTAAATTGGCATGCTTATCTTATCACAAGTACCTGAGAAACAAGGGAAGTATGAAGAGGTGTTCTTTAGTTTTACATCTTTGAAGACCTGTATACTTGGGAAACAAATACATTTAATACTCCATGAAGTCAACAATGATGAGTGGCACAACCAGGTTAGAACTGCCCAAGGAGGCAGCTCTGCCCTGTTTTTTGTCATTGGCCACTCTAGGTGTCTGTGCTAGGTGTGCTCATGCCCAGGGTCAGTCTCAGAAATGAGAGTTAAAGCCTTTGTTTGAAAGCACCAGTTAGACTGGAGAGGAGAGTTGAACTGCTGCCTGGATTTTAAAGTGTCCTTCTCTTCTCCCTTGTTTGCTTTCTTTGGTCTCAGATTGTTACATTTTTAAATTTGACTAACTGCCAAGAACTCTTCAGGAGGCCTTGAAAAGTATCTTATCTCTGTTGCAGCAGTGAAAGAGGTTAGCCCTGTAATTGTAGCTTAAGAATCTATAAACAAATGTTTTAAACATATCATTTTAATAAAGACACCCATTCACGTTGGAACCCCAAAGTAAATTTACCAATCTTTGTTTTCCAGGGCTTAGAGTTTTTATTCCGCTTTTTCACCTGGTCCCTGTGACTGAATTTCCAGTTGTTGAAAATGAACTCAGCCCCACGCACCCTGCGCAGCGAGAGCCAGTGTTCCAGGAG